CACTCATTCAAGATTTTCAATTTTCTATGAAATTACTTTAAACTTGTGAAAGATGTTTAACTCCTAAATCGAAATTGTTTTCCGTTTCATATAAAAGAATCGAAACGCAACACTTTTCATTTCAAAAAATAATTTAATCTTCGTTTGAAACGAAATATTTTAAACAAGATTGTACTTTTTTTTTCGTTGAAAATATTCTGCTTCATATGTTTAATTTTAATATCAGTTCATTTCTATAGCAAAGATAAATGTTTTGGGAATATTTCTAAGTGAAGAAAAATTAAAAAATACTTGGTTTTTATTTTCTTATTTTAGAACAATTCTATTTATGTAAATTAATATCACTATTAAGTACATTAATTAACTGATGCTTTTTTATATTCAGTTTCTAAAAAACATAATAATTTTTAATTATGGGTAAAGTAAATATACTTACTTCTTTTAAATATCATGCTCTATAGCATGTTTATATTTAACTGAGAAAAAAGTATGGTTAAAACTACCAGAATAGTTTAACATTTACCGTGTTTTTGGTGCAAAGGGAACACGAAAAATCTTTTTAATTTCTACCGAAACGCTTTGGTAATGATTACAGTAAAAGTAACAATAAATATGGTTTTATAATAAATGATAGAATTCTATAAGTGTGAATGAGTTAAAATTTGGTATATCATGATACCTTACACCATGGCATTAAAACTATTTTTTTCGGTTAAATTTTCTTTCTTTTTTTTTTTTACTAATTGTGCTTGTGTGGTAATAAGACCTATAATTTTTAAAAACTAAAATTTCTATTAATCCCTAAACAATTTAGTGGAAAATTTATCAAATGAATGGCTTAAATACAGTATGTTTTGGCTTTATTACCAGAGTCATATTTTTTATATTATTATTAGAAATATCATTAAAATATAGTACTGTAATTTAATCAGAATTTTTTTCCCGTGTGGAAATATAACTTTAAACAATAACTTATATTGTGAATCACATAAATCTGGAAATTGGTAATAGTTCCAAGTTAAAGAGACGTTGTTTGGGTTAATATTAAGTAAAATTGTCTAAAAATTGTGCACTATTTCCCAGTTTCACAGGAAATCTTTATCATTACAGATAAATCATATAAATTTACCATATATAGATGTTTCTCAATAGTTCCCTATCTAATAATGATAAAGACAAGAATTAAATTTGCAATAATAATCGATTTTAAACTTATTTGATGCCTGACATAAATTTTTTTCTTGTAATTGCGATTATAGTATTGTCTTATATAAACAAGAATGGTAGGTTGTACCTACGAAAATTTTTTTTTTGTGCACCATGCAAGAATTAAAAACGTTTTGTTGGTACAATAACTTTAATGAGTTATAAGCAATTGATTTTTTTTTCTACACGTTAACTGGTTCATAATATATAGTTCTTGTTAGTCAATGAAGTAACTCGAGTTTGAATCTTGCCAGATTCTCATACTGTAGCAGACGTAAATGATACACGAGTGGTAGTTAGATCATGGTTTCTAAGCCGTATGTATCAGGAAAGCCGTGGAAGGGTTTCATGGTTTTCTTTTTCTTGTAACACAAATATACGTTTGTATCCTTTCCTTTCGGGTTAGGTACAAAGTAACAAGGCTGCAGAGTTGAAGCTGCACTGAGAAAAATGTATGGTCAGAACTACCCGAATATAGTAAAGTTTACCGTATTTCTGGCTTTATGGGAATACCCAAAAGCTCTCTAATTTTTGCCTAATCACTTTGTTTATGAGTTTGAGAAAATGAATAGAACATGGTTTTATAATATGCGTTAAAATTCAGTAAATGTGGTAAAAATTTTGATTAATTGATGATACCTTAGAGCATGGCATAAAAAATCATTTATTTGCTTAAATATACTTCTCAGTTTTGCATTTTTTATCCAATGAGTGGTAATAAGAACTACAATTTTGAAAACCAAAATTGCCGGTAAAACCGTTACTATATTAAAGGAAAAATTAACAAATAAATGGTTTAAGTACCGTATATTTTACTTTTATTAACCAGAAATGTCATTACCATACTGTACAGTAATTGTACCAGAATATTTTTCTACATGTGCATAGATAGCTGTCAATTTCTTATCTTCATATGTAACTTCAACTGCTCAACGCGGAATTTTAAATAAATTAAAAGCGACTGACTAATAAATTAAAAACTGATGACACTTAATCTATTAGCCACTCACATTTAATTTATTTTAAAACTAGCGTTGAACAGTTGCATCTACCTATGCAGATATGAATTTACAGCTGTGTATACACACGGAGAAAAAAATTACTGTAAAATTACCTTACTGTATTGTAATGACATTTATAATAAAATTTAAAAAAATACAGAATTCTGGTTAGTGAAACTAAAATATACGGTATTTAAACCATTCATTTGGTAATTTTTTCTTTCATACAGACTTACCGGAAATTAATAACTAATAGTTAATAACGAATAATTAATAAATACTAATTAATAATGCCTATTAATAACTAATAACTTTTTTGCTTCAAAAAATTATGAAATTATAACTTACCATAATTTTTTTACTATTATAACTGCTAGAAAAATTGCTTTTACAATAATATTATGTGTTTAACTATAAATCTTATTCCCTTAGTTTCAGTTCTAGCGAAAATGTTTAAAACAGGTATAAAATAACTAGAACTTCAGAAATTACGTGCTTTTATTAATGCTTCTATATGCTTTAATCATATCCAAGGATTTTATCAATAAAAATAGCATAAATATGAAATTCTTTACCGATTTAGGACATATACTATTTTTTTAAAAGCACCACTTAGATTTAATAATTAAGGATTATTTTCTCATTGGAGATGCTTTGAATGGTCTGTGATATTGAAAAAAAAATCTTTTAGATTTGAAACTAAAATTTGTTTTATTAGTTACAATGAGTTTGATAAATAATAGAATAATTTACGTTGTCATAAGGGGTGATTTGTTTGATGCAAATACGTTAGGTATCGGTCTTAACTTTTGTGTTTGGAAATAGATGCAGGGCATTAAAATGTATTCAAAACATTTCCAAATTTACATAAAGGTGCTGAAATTTGATGTACTTAAAAGTCTTTAAAATTTAAATAATTAATGAAACAATAATAGCATTAATATATTTGTAATTAGATAATAATTGGTTGGAATAATTAGGTTGTTGTTAGTTGTTTTAAACCAACACAAATTAAAAGAAAGGCGAGATAAAGTTGCACTTTATTTGTAACTGATAATTATGTTATAAAGAAGTGATATTAGCCTACGTGTCAATCAAAAATTATTGTCAAATTAAAAGTAATTTGAATAAAACTTATCCTATATAGATATTTATAGCCAATATCAAGTTGATGAAACTAATAGAAGTAATTATAGGCATAGGCTAAGAGTTATAATAGGCATTATGCATAAAGAGTGCAATTTTTTATTGACACATATTAAAGCATAAAACCCTCATTACTTCGAAACTAATAAATTTATCTACATGAATTTTATTAAATTCTCTTTGAAAATATATACATTGGAAGCAGTACCTCAATTATTTCTGTAGCAACCCTTTTTAGCCCCCATCCCCTCAGAATTATTACGATCGCGGTTAAAGATTACACGAAGGGTTAGGAAACTTCTTATATCAATATTAAGCCCAAGCTACTACTTATTAAATAAATTAAAGTTTTTCTAATATTATTTCCAAATTCAACCATGTAAAAACTAGCGTAAAAAGGGAAAGAATTAATCCAACTTCATCTAAAAAATAACAAAGATATATTTGGAGATCCACTGGAAGCAAAATTACATGAAAAAAATTGAAAATTGGTTCAAACTTTGTTTCATACAATTCAATAAAAGTTTTTTGGACTTCCACTTTCTAAGAGAATTACTTCTATCTGATAATATGTTAACTTTTTTATTGAAATCCTTCAATTCTTTTAAATTACTCAGAAAGCTACTTCTTTATAAACTTTTTAAAACATTGATAACACCGGGGAACTAATTTTTTGTCTGATGTCACGATTTTTTTTGCGGATCTTGGATACTTTTAAGTCACTAGTTTTAAATTTGCTATCGGTTTTCCTCTCCAAGTTATAGTTTTTTTCTTCTTCTTTCAATGACATTTTTAGTCTACTTATTGTCGAAATGCACAGGTTTAAAAACGTTATATGTAATATGGGGTCACGTAAATGCTATGACAAACTCCTAGAAAAGTTAGGTCATATTATCAGGATTAAAATTGTATAAGAACCCATGCGCAGAAATGTCGTCGTAAGCGGCTAGGGGCGTTTGCCTATTATGAACAGTTTCTTCGTGTGGTGCGGCCGATGCCAGTTCCGGGAATGGTTTTCTATGCAATTTTAATCCTGATGAAGTGCTTTAACTTCTCTAGGTGTTTGTAATAACATTTACGCTACCCTCTTTCATATATTACGTTTTTAAGCTGTATATTTCCACACACACACACAAAAAAAAAAAGATTGAAAACCGTAAATAAATTAATTTGTAGCTTTTGGAAAAAACTAATTTCATGTTTGAAATTCCCACACCCGAGTTAGCAAAATCAAGTATTTGTATAAATTTAAATAAAAATAAATACATGAATAAATAAAAACTGCTCTCCAATGTAGTTAATAATGTATGTTTAACATTTACAAATTATGATGATTCCCATACTCTTATTAATATTAAATTAAAACGAGCTCTTAAGAGAACAATTTATGCCAGAATAAATTAATAACATCCTTTCGATGACACACAGTAATACGCAAAACAATAGGAAAAAAAAACTTGTGATATTAATCGAAATTAATGAATCAACTCAATATATTTGTAGTGATAAAGGGTTCATAAATTTATGTTTATAAACAGAAAAGACAAATAACACATTAGGCCTTCAAGATGTGAAAGTAGGAGGAGGCTTGGCCCCTCCCTGTCATCGCTAGGCCACATTGTAATTTTGTTGTCTCTTTGATTCTAGAGTGCTGATTGGAGGAAGAGGATCTGTACAGCGTAAATGGAAGCAGCCGGCTTGCATGCCCTCGAGGATTCCGCGGACCGGCTTGCGGCGTGTGTCCCAATGCCATAACCTACCTGGCCAAGGTTCGACCAGCATGGAATACGGCGCTACGGCGCTCGTCTCCGGGGTTGCCTGGCTTCTCTACTGGTCTACCCTGCAGGCCAACTTCGCCTATGATGACAGGTAACAGTCTTCATTCACTTCTTATACTACAGAACACATTTGTGCCTTCAACTGTCTTTGAAGTAGCGATCCTTGGGAAATACGAGCTTCTATGGCTTTGCCATAAGCTTTTAAAATGATATTTACATAAATATATAGATGGTAGCAAGATACATGAGGATAGGACAAATACGGATGCCTTATATTAATCTCGTGACGCAGAATTTTCATAAAAACATATTTTTCGTGCTTTTTTCTTTAATTTTGGTTTATTAAATTGTCCTTAAAGTAGAGATCGTTGGGGAATCGAGGTTCTATAGCTTTGTAATAAGTATTTAAAACTACAACTACATAAATTTATAGATGATAGTAAAATACATGAGGATAAGACACAAATACGGATGCCATATATTAATCCTTTGGGGAAGAATTTTTGTAAACATATCTTCCATACTTTTTTATTTTATTTTGTATTGATTAGGTCAAAATAAGTGAAAAATATTATATTTAGCATTTTAATAATTTATGGTTATGAAATTCAACTCGAGACAGAAGTGTCTTTCTGAGTTAAAAGTAAAATTTGTCAAACACAGATCACTTCCAAGCAATAATTTTTAGAATTTGCGAATTAATATTTAAGAAAAAATTTTAAATTTAAGAGAAACAATCATTCATCAGTGAAATTCCTTAATTTACAAAATCAATTATTGATGAATTTTTGTATATGAATAAAAAAAACTATTTTCCAATTTTTTTCATTATTTATTTATTTATTTTTTTTGGATTTTATATTTTAGTACTAATATAATTCCTATAATTTAAGGATTTTTTAGTAACCATTAGACTGTATTTTTTATAATTAAAAAATGTCGAAATATAATTTTACTTGTAATTAGAGAGTCAGAAAAAAATATATAAAAAGGGCACTGGTGTCCAATCTGCGTCAAAAGGTTAAATGAATCTTTTCTAAAAGTTTTTTGTTCTTTAAAATTTTATAAGTAATATTTGAAAGTAACACCTTGTAAGTAGTATTTTAAAATTTTGAAACAAATGTGATAATCCACTTATTAGGTAGAAACTTTAGAACAACCCATCTTTGAAGTAGTGGTCCTTGGAAAATGCGGGATTCTAAAGCTTCATTATACGCTTCTAATACGATATTTATTTTAGTATTTTAGAGATATAAATGAGAATAAGACACACATTCAGATGCCTTATATTAAAAAAAATGTCATCTAAAAATTTTATGTTTTTCTTCTACTCAAAAACATTAATTTTTTTTCAAAAGTAATTGGGGAAAATTTTAATATTTTTGAAAGAATCTTTGAAAATCGCAAGAGTGAGAAGTGATAATTCACATATTAGGTTGAACATCAAAAGAACCTTTTTTTATAGTAAGGATTTTTGGAATATCTGAGGCTCTGGTGTTAAGCTTCTAAAACGATATTTACATAAGTATACAGATCGCAGTAAGATACATGAGAATAAAACACCGATACGGATGGCTTATATTGAAGAAAATGTTATATTAAAATTATATGCGTTTTTTAGATTAATTTACAAAAAAAAGTAAATTAGTAATAGTTTAATAGTTGGAAACTTCAGGGGTAAGACGAGATAATCAACATTTCTATAGAAAAATAGATAATACTATTACACATATTGCTGACATGTTGGGCTCCTTATTTAAGAGAACCAATATTGGGCTGTCATCCCGTACTACTTGGGCATAATGTGAACTTTTGTCGGATATAATTATTTTACAGTTGGGGAATAGTTTTTTTTTAATATTTGTGTTAACACATTTTACACTTGTGATCTTTGTTTTACAAAATAATCTAACTAAAATTTTTCTATGTAGCTTTATAACAGAGCAGGGAAAGAGATTCTTTTTATTTATTAAAAAGGCTTTTTTTCAATTCCTTAAAGGTATATAGGCATAAAAGTATTACCTATCATCTTAAAGGTTAGGTCAATTATTGATAAATAATAATTAAAAAAGTAACTAATACATAATACATAATTAAATATTACATAATTAAATATTACATAATTAAATACATAGTAATAACAATTAAATAAACAACTAGAACCGAAACTTTCACGTGAATAAAATTCACTTCTAAAACATTTACATGGAACTTGGTTTTTGAAAATTAATAAAACCTATGTTAAAAATTGGTTTTTACCCAGAAACTACGCAAACTCATTTGGAAAAGGAAATAAAAAGGTTATATAAATAGCGTTTCTTAATATAAAAATTTGGAATAAAGAAAAATTAACCATTATCAAGTCAATAAATATTCCCTTCTCTCGATTATATGTGTACATAAAACGGATTCTAGCTCAGAAGCAAAAATTAAAAATGAACACGTTGTTAGTTGTCAATTTTTAACAGATATAATCACTCAAATAAAATAAATGTTTGCAAAATAAGATAAATATATGACATTTTTTTGTATATATATATATATATAGTGTGTGTGGGAGGANATTCATATATAAGTAAATATCGAATCTATAAATAAACTCTCCTTTTCAGTAACTTATCAGTCAGAGGAGATAGCATATCAGATATTCTAACGTGCTAAATATATAAAAAATGTTTCTAGTGAAGTTCGATTATTTGTAATATAGCAGTATTTGTAGTATTTTTAAAATTTCATCTTATTCCACTGTTTCGTTGCAGAGACAACTGGAATAAGTATTAAAATGTTTTGTCCGTAGAAAACTGTTCTTGAATTATTTTTTGTGTTAAAAAATTTATTTATTTATTTATTTGAATTTTATTTTATCATTCTTTATTAACACTTTGATTTTAATTGTAAAATCAAATTAAACAAAGTTTTACACAAATGTATTATATGCCTGCATCAATTTTGCAAATTATTCATTTGGATTATAAGAATTAACATATTATGATCAAAATATCAAATAAATAAAAATATAATATAATCCAGCACATTAATTTGATGAATTGTTTGAACTATTTATAAAACTCTTCGCAAGTTTGAGTACTTTTTTAATTCGTCAATATTTTTTTTCTTTATTTTACACATAGATTACATTTAAATATTTATAAGAGTACATACATTTTTAAAAATATTTATTTCTTAAAAATTTTAATGAAGTAAACATAATTTAGTAAGCATCATAAATATCAATACCTTTAAGTCTACAAATATTTAAAATAAAATATGTGAAATCATTTCCATCAACAGTTTTATATACATATCTAAGCGTAAAAATTCATATAATATTCTTTAATTTATAAACATTTCAATGAAGCAAAACATAATTCAGAAAATCTCCTAAATTTTAATACCTTACAAGTTGAGCTCTATTTTAAATTAACAAACATTTAAGATAGAATACGTAAAATCATTTCCATCAGACCGAAATCAAGTAAACTACCTAGTAGTTTCAATTTGCTTCCCAAACTTTATTTACGCTCTGCAGATAGTCTGTTAGCCCGGGTAATAGTTGCATGACTGTAAACGTATGACTAGGAAGTCGAAAATTCATTACGATATTGATTTACAGATATATTTGAGCTAAACGCTTGGGTTTCATCTCAAATCGATTTTCGCTTCTGTTTCCGTTTGTTTACCCAATCGTATATTACAGCTCGAAACTACCCAGACCTAACCTATTATTAATGGTTTTGTGGAGGGCATTTATAACAACGCTTATAAAATTGTATTATTGTGAGGTGTTATTTTCTTATATATTTATTTTGCTTCAATTTTGTTATGAGGTATTTCTCACCAAGAATTTAAGAAAGAAATTTAAGCGCTTTGAAAAAAATTAATTTCGAGTAAATACTCTGAGAAAAAAAAGTGTAGTCAAAATTACCAGGATGTGGTAGAATTTACCATGTTTCTGGATAAAAGGGAATACCAAAGCATTTTAGATATGATTTTGGCTAAATTAACTATAAAATATGGTTTTATAGCATGCGACAAAATTTGGTAAATGTTGTAAAATTTTGTAATTTAAACGTGATAACTATATGATGGTATAAAATAATTTATTCGGTTAAATTTACTAAACAGTTTTTTTTAATTTTTTTTTATTAAATTTACAGTAATCAGAGTTAAAATTAGAAAAAACAGAATTTCTGTCAAATCATTGCCACAAATGTCATTACCACACAGTATAATAATTTTACCAGATTTTGTTTTTCCGTAAACAATTGCCCCGCAGTGAACTGATCGTAAAGACGCTGTTCTCAGTAGAAGTCAAGCATCACTGGCTGCAGTCAGTAAGCGGTTGGGTGACCACTTTGATCTGCCTGCGTAGGGACCTAGGGTGTGTGGTATTGGTCCTCGTTAAACTGCTCTACCGTTAAGTGCAGGACTCGTATATCGTCGGGCTACCATAGCAAGGGAGCCCGACGGGAATTTTAATATATAACATATAATTCACGTCAAGAACCATTTTAAATATGTACGTAAAAAGAAATCGTTAACCCTGTCGCGCCAATGCTGCATTTGTATAACATTTGTCTTTCAAATTTTTCCAATTAGATATTTGAACAGCTATCTAGTTGACTCAAACTTGATATTAATGAAATATCGTTAAATATTATTTTTTAAACAACATGTAGTCAGCAGACGGAAATTTTCATAAAAATGAAGTTCTGTATGCACATTTGAATTCAATGAGCAAGTTTTTACTCACTAAATTACAAACTGTTTTCATTGTAGGTTAACAACTGTTGTTAAGTTACTGTCTTCAAATTTCATTGATCTTTAATAGTACATTCATTGTAAACACCTTTACTAAAATTTAAAGTAAATTGCTTATACATGAAACTTATATACTATTATTTCATTTAAATGATAAACAAATAAACTGATAATTTAAATTATTAATTAAAAAATTTTTGGTTTTGATCACATTTTTAAATTTAAAGCTCTGCACACTTTAATCTTAAAAAACAGTTGTTAGTTGATAGATAGTGGTTAACCACTCTTTAAATTAAGGACCATAAATCGTAAATTTATTAAAAAAAAGTA